CCTAGCTTCGTCTGATGAGCACACACGCAGGAGCTGAGCAGTCACACTGGTCCACCTCGTTCTCCTGCCCCATCCCTGCGTGCTCTGTTCTGCTGTCCTCCACTCTGGGCTGGGGAGGGGGTAGCGGGGAACGTGGTGGATCTGTATGGAGCTCCTCCGAATGAATCAACTTTCGGTCGTCCGCGCTGGGGACCCCCCTGGTGGTGCCTCCGTCGTCGCCCATGGGTTCGCTCCGCTCGACAGGGGAGGGGGCTCTCTAGCGCCGGTCCTAGAAGTCCGCGAGGGCGATATTTTTCCCAACCATCCTGTGATGTTGGGTCCTCGTTTTGGAGAGACGGTCCCCGCGTCGCCTTCCTTCCTCCTCCCTCCTCCCTCTCCTCCCTCCTCGCTGCGTTTCACCCACCATGTACAGCGTCTCGTGGCCCCATAGGGAGCTCCACCGAAGGCCCCAATGCCAGTGCCACCGCCAGCATGCGTCTCCCACACCCATTTCGGCACACCCCTCACACGTTTCGTGGCCCCATAGGGAGCTCCACCGAAGGCCCCAGTGCCACCGCCCGCATGCGTCACCCACACCCATGTCGTCACACCCCTCACACCTTTCGTGGCCCCATAGGGGGCTCCAACGAAGGGGCCAGTGCCACCGCCCGCATGCGTCACACACGCACATTCTGGCACACCCCCATGCGTTTCGTGGCCCCATAGGGAGCTCCACCGAAGGCCCCAGTGCCCCCGCCCGCACGCGTCACCCACACACATTGCGTCACACAACTCACACGTTTCGGGGCCCCATAGGGAGCTCCACCGAAGGCCCCAGTGCCACCGCCCGCATGCGTCACCCACACATTTTCGGCACACCGCTCACACGCTTCGTGGCCCCATAGATAGCTCCAACGAAGGCCCCAGTGACACCGCCCGCGTGCGTCGTCCACGCCCATTCCAGCACACCCCTCACGCGCTTCGTGGCCCCATAGGGAGCTCCACCGAAGGCCCCAGTGCCCCCGCCCGCATGCATCACCCACACCCACTTCGTCACACAACTCACACGTTTCGTGGCCCCAGAGGGAGCTCCACCGAAGGCCCCAGTGCCACCGCCCGCATGCGTCACCCACGCACGTTTCGGCACACCTCTCACGCGCTTCGTGGCTCCATAGGAAGCTCCACCGAAGGCGCCAGTGGCTGCGTTCGCATGCGCCTACCGCACCCATGTCGGCACGGCCCCAGTGGCTGCGTTCGCATGCGCCCACCGCACCTATTTCGGCACACCTCTCACACGCTTCGTGGCCCCATAGGGAATCCCACCGACGGCCCAAGTGGTTGCTTTAAGCGGACAAAATTTGGCACACCTCTCACACGTTTCGTGGCCTTCTAAGGAGCTCCTCTGAATGCGGTGCATACAGCGACGGTGCTCACAACTGCATATGGTTGGGTCCTTCGCCAGGCTAATGTTTCTGACCATCCTGTGGTGTTGGGTCTTCGTTTTGAAGAGACAGCGCCCCGCATCACTCCTCTCCTCCTCTCCCTCCCTCCTCCTCCTCCTCCTCCTCCTCCTCCGATCCCTCCCTCTGCCCTCCGAACCCGTCAACCATTTCAGCACACCCCTCACACGTTTCGATGTCCATAGGGAGCCACACCGAAGGCCCCAAATGCCAGCGTTCGCATGCGGCCACCGCACCCATTTTGGGCATACCCCTTCGCACGTTTCGATGCTCCATAGGGAGCCACACCGAAGGCCCCAAATGCCAGCGTTCGCACGCGGCCACCGCACCCATTTCGGCATACCCCTTCGCACGTTTCGTGGCTCCATAGGGAGCCACACCGAAGGCCCCAAATGCCAGCGTTCGCTTGCGGCCACCGCCCCAATTCGGCATACCCCTCACACTTTTCGTGGCCTCACAGGGAGCCCAACCGAAGGCCCAAATGCCATTGTTCGCATGCGGCCACCGCGCCCATTTGGGCACACGCCTCACACTTTTCGCGGCTTCATAGGGAGCCCCACCGAAGGCCCAAATGCCAGCGTTCGCATGCGGCCACCACGCTCATTTTGGCACACCCCTCACACGCTTCGTGGCTCCATAGGGAGCCACACCGAAGGCCCAAATGCCATTGTTCGCATGGGGCCACCGCATTTTGGCATACCCCTCACACGTTTTGTGGCTCCATAGGGAGCCCCACCGAAGGCGCAAATGGCACCGCTCCCGTAGGGCGCTCCACCGAAGGCCCCAGTGCCACCGCCCGCATTCGTCACCCACACCCATTTCGTCACACCCCTCAAACGTTTCGTGGCCCCAAAGGAAGCTCCAGCGAAGGTCCAGTGCCACCGCCCGCATGTGTCACCCATACCCCTTTCGTCACCCCCCTCGCACGTTTCGTGGCCCCAGAAGGAGCTCCACCGAAGGCCCCAGTGCCACCGCCCGCATGCGTCACCCACACATATTTCGCCACACCCCTCAGACGTTTCGTGGCTCTGGAGCCCCACCGAAGGCCCAAATGCCAGCGTTCGCATGCGGCCACCGCACACCCATTTTGGCACACCCCTCACGTTTCGTGGCTCCGGAGCCCAACCGAAGGCCCACATGCCAGCGTTCGCATGCGGCCACTGCACCCATTTTGACACACCCCTCACACGCTTCGTGGCCCCACACCACCACCGAAGGCCCAAACGCCAGCCCTCGCATGCGTCCACCGCACCCATTTTGGCATACCCCTGACACGTTTGGTAGCCCCACAGGGAGCTCCTCCGAATGCGGTACATACAATGACGGTATTCACAACTGCATATGGATGGGTCCTTCATCAGGTTTATGTGTTGTTCCCAACGATCCTGTGGTGCTTGGTCCTCGCATTCTCCTTCCTTCCTTCCTTCCTTCCTCCCTCTTCCCCCCCTCCTCCCTCCTCCCGTCACCCCCCTCACTGTGGCACACCCCGCATACATTTCGTGGCCCCATGAGGAGCTCCACCGAAGGCCCAAGTGGGGGTGTCCGCCTGCGTCCGCCACACCAGCGGAGCTCCAGGAACGGCCCCAATCGGGGTGCCCGCATGCGTCCGCCCCCCCGCCCAGTACAGCGCTTCGTGGCCCCATAAGGAGCTCCACCGAAGACCCCAGTTGGGGTGGCCGCGTGCGTCCGCCACACCCAGTACAGCGTTTCGTGGTCCCATAAGGAGCTCCACCGAAGGCCACAGTGGGGGTGCCTGCGTGCGCCCGCCGCACCCAATACAGCGTTTCGTGGCCCAACAGGAGCTCCACCGAAGACCCCGGTGGGGGTGCCCGCATGCGTCCCCCCCACCCAGTACAACGTTTCGTGGCCCCATAGGGAGCTCCACCGAAGACCCCAGTTGGGATGCCCGCGTGCATCCGCCATACCCAGTACAGCGTTTCGTGGCCCCGTAAGGAGCTCCACCGAAGGCCCCACTGCTACCGCCCGCATGCGTGCCCCCTACCCAGTACAGCGGTTCGTGGCCCCATAGGGAGCTCCACCGAAGGCCCCAATCGGGGTGCCCGCATGCGTCCGCCACGCCCAGTGCAGCGCTTCGTGGCCCGATAAGGAGCTCCACCGAAGGCCCCAGGGGGGGGTCCCGCGTGAGTCCGCCACACCCAGTACAGCGCTTCGCGGCCCCACAGGGAGCTCTTCCGAAGGCCCCAACACTTTCGCCCGCATGCGTCCCCCCCACCCAGAACTGCGCGTCGTGGCCCCGTATGAAGCTCCTCCGAGTGCCCCAGTGCTCCCGGCCGCGTGCGTCCGCCACACCCAGTACAGCGCTTCGCGGCCCCATAGGGAGCCCCCCCGACGGCCCCAGTGCTACCGCCCACATCCCGCCCACCCAGTTCAGCGTTTCGTGGCCCAACACGAGCTCCACCGACGGCCCCAGTGCTACTGCCAGCATACGCCCCCCCTACCCAGTACAGCGTTTCGTCGCCCCGTATGGAGCTCCACCGAAGGCTCCAGTGCTACCGCCCGCATGCGTCAGCCACACCCAGTACAGCGCTTCGTGGCCCCATAAACAGCTCCACCGAAGGTCCCGGTGGTACCGCCCGCGTGCGTCCCCCCCACCCAGTACAGCGCTTCGTGGCCCCATAGGGAGCCCCACCGACGGCCCCAGTGCTACCGCCCGCATGCGTCCCCCCCCCCCCACCCACCCAGTACAGTGTTTCGTGACCCCATAAGGAGCCCCAGCGACGGCCCCAGTGCTACCGCCCGCGTGCGTCCCCCCCCCCCCCCACCCAGTACAGCGCTTCGTGACCTCATAGGGAGCTCCACCGAAGAAGAAATTCGTAATTTCGGTATCTACATATTGTTGGGTCGTACGCCAGGATAATGTTCAAACGTGCGCTTGCACAAATAAATGTAAAACCATACATGCAACGAAATTATACAAGCACGAATAATACTACTAATGGTAATACTGATAGTAGTAATCATATTACGAATAACGATCATACTAATAAGCAAGTCCGCGAGGGCCACCGGAAGTTTGTGGTTGCCCTGCTTTTTTTTCTTCTGCCGTCGCTGGTGTCTCACGTGGCGCTGCTCGTCCACACGGGCGCGCTGTCGCGCGATGCCATCACCAGGAGGCTCCGAGCGGTCGTGTGGTGGCTTCGGTGCGCCCTGAGCCTGGGGGTCTCAACGAAGCGGGCACAGACGCGGGCGGATCTGGTCGCGCAGAAGGTGTCGAACCTCATCATGGCCCGCAGGGCCAGCTACGCCCGCAGCCTGATCCATCCATGTTCGATTTGCTGCTTCTTCGCTTCGGCTCTGACGCTGTGGAATGTCCTTGCGGGTCGCGAGCGAGTGCATTCCGTCTTTGCTGACATGATGTTCTTCGTCATGTATTCAAGCATCTTGGTGCTGTTGTGCCGGCCTTCATTGATCACGCCATCGTCGGTAGAGCTCTGGGGCTCCTGGGCCATGCTGATAGCCACTGTGGGCGCATCGCCACTGGTCACGTCGAGCGACAAGCTGATCTTCGTGTCCTGCACCTTGGGCGCCGTCAGGCTCATCATCAGCCTATCCATGCTGAACCTGCCCGCGCTCCTATTCTGGAACGCCGCCTACTGGGGCGCCCTGAGCCTCCACTGGCACCTGTGGATCCCGTCCGTGGACGTCGGCTGCTCGATGGAGCGCCTCAACCAGATGCAGATGATCGTCATCGCGGAGCTGTTCCAGTCCTGCCTCGTGGTGCTCCTGGCCTGCTCGATGCACCGCGTCACAGGCGAGTGGGCGCGGCAGCTGGTGGAGGCGCAGTCCTCGCGCACCGTGCTGGAGGCGTCCAGGTCGATGCTGCTCACCATCTGTGACGCCGTGGTTGAGCTGGACGCAAGCCTGCAGCTGGCGGAGCACTCGCCGAGACTCGCCGCGATGTTGCCTCGCAATCTCAGCCACAACTCCCTGGTCGGTTCGAGGCTGGATCAGTTTTTGCACTCGGCCGACGACATGCACCGCTTCAACTCACGCATGCAGGGTCCCGCGCACGAGGCCGACACGATCGCCGACGTTTTCCACGCGAACATGCGCGACAGGCTTGGGGGCGCAACGAAGATGGAGATCTTCCATGTCTGCTTTGTGGACACTCTGACGCAGCTGCCCCAGCATCTCATTGGCCTTAGGGAGAACAGCGACTCGGATTTGTTGGATCGACATCTTGTCCCGGAGCCAGATCACGCTCCCTGCCAGCCAGGGATGGCCGTCGTGTTCGACGCGCTCACGTTCAAGGTTCTGGAGGTATCCACAGAATTCGTGAAGCGCTTCGGGCCGTGCCGGGCCAGCGCGGTGGTCTGCGACTGGCTGGACTTGAAGGACCCCACTGTCGAGGTTATGTGCGACAACATCAACCTCTTCGCCAACGGCGCTGCTCCCACCTGCTCCTTCGAGCTCTGGCCGCTAACGCTGCGACTGACTTGCAGCGGCCCGGCGGACTATCCCGCGTCGTTCATGCTCACGCGGGTACAGTCCGACGACGGCGAGGATCAGATTGTGGCGTTCATGGTGTTACCCCCTTGCGGCGGAATGCACCACGGCCTGATCGAGTGCGGCCACAGCCACAGCGGCGAGGCCAGAGCCAGGGCGGCCACGAACCACGGAGCGGACCCCGGCCGGGGCCACGGCCTCGGCAGCGAGGCGGGCAGCGCCTCCGAGCGCGCCCAAGAGGTGCGGACGCACCGCGCAGAGCGGCTGCTCGCCGAGCTGGCCCACGCCGAGGCGGCCGCCGCGGCACCGGGAGCGCCGCTCGCCGCGCCGTTCGTGTCCACCTCGCGGTCCTCCTCCTCCTGGGCCTGGGGTGCCGCCGCCGAGGCGGCCGCCGCGGCACTGGGAGCGCCGCTCGCCGCGCCGTCCGTGTCCACCTCGCGGTCCTCCTCCTCCTCCTGGGCCCACGCTGCGGGTGCCGCCGCCGAGGCGTGGCCCTCCCCGCGGGCCGAGGGCCGCGTCGCAGGGGGCGGCGGCGCCGCGCAGCGGCGCAGGTCCGTGTCCCCGCACAGCTCCGCGTCGAGCTTCCAGACCAGTATCTGAGGGCGCGGCCGGGCAAGGCGCGTGGGCGCCCTGCCAGGCCCCGGGGACCCGTGGTCTCTCTGGTAGTGGCTTGTGGTCTCTGGTCTCGGGCACGGTCAGGCGGATGGGTGGGTGTAGTATACAGTCCGATGGCCTGGCGAATGCGGTCCGCGGCCGTGCCCACGCGACCACCCTAATACCCTAAAGTTTTGCTCCTTCATAATTAGCATCGCGGCCCCGTCATCCGGATGCTTCCTGCATCGCCCGCCGTATCAACTCGCATCATAAAGCTCTCCCCCATGCCAGAGGCAGTGACGTTGTCAGCAATGATGATTTCTTGAGGAACCATTCGGAAGGCCGTGCACACTGATGAATTCATGCCCGCATGGATGATGGCGTTTATGGGCATCGGCGCGCGCACCGAAATCCGAATAATATGTTCAATGCAGTGTTTTGAAACTGCTGGTGCATCAGATGTGTTTAGCGATTTCGGTCTAGACATGTTGAGAACACCATTGGTGTGCTGGTTTATGAATTTGTCTTGCGCACGTGTGAGCGCGCGCATGTGGCCTGCATGGTATGCTTTGCAAGGGACTCGCACCATTGATCAACACATGTCCACCGCATAGTCTTAGGGATTCTGGGTCGTGCCCAGGCTGGTTACGGCGGATTACCGCGTGGGGCTTGATACGGCGGCCGACAGCATGGTATCATTTCACAGGAGGTTCCAGGAGGACCCTCCTCCCCTCCTCCTTAGGAGGCTGGGTAGCCCTCTGACCCTGGATCTACGAGTTAGCATCAATGCGGGAAGTGCACCATCCTCGAGCGGGCGCGCATGGGATGTTGGTTCAGGCATTGGCTGCCGGGCGGAAAGTGAACTATCCTCGACCGGACACGCATGGAATATGGGTTCAGGCATCAGCTGCCATGCGGGAAGTGCACCGTCCTCGAGCGGGCACACGTGGAACTGTGGGTCAGGCATGGGCTGCCATGCTGGAAGTGCACCATCCTCGAGCGGGCGCGATGGAAGTGGCCTCGGAAAGGACGGGCGGTGCACGCAAGAGCCCGCTGGCAGAGGCAGGGGCGGCTTTTCAGAAGACCCTGCCAGAGAGACCGTGGCATTCTTCCACGCCTGAATGTGCCAGGGGGCCACGGTGGCGGATGGTTCGCGGCGCGGGTCGCGGGCGGGTCGCGGTGCCAGTTGTTGGTGGGCCGCCTGGCCCAGCCGCGGAGCGTGTCGCGGGTGGGCCGCGGGGCGGGGGCCAGCAACAACGCTGGCAGTCCAGCACCGCGAAAGCCCACTATTGCCAAGCGTCCAGGGGCAGCAGAAGACCGCGCGGCCCCCTCATTGCGAAAGAAATCCCGTCGATGGCAGAGCGGCGAGCTAGTACATGTGCATAATATATATATATATATATATATATACAAGACTGCATTGGCGCTTCGCGCCATGCACCTTGATCCTTGAAGTGTGGTGTGCATGCGGAATAGCAGGAAGGTCAAGCCGACAATTTAGCGATAACTCCTTTTTGCCGTTTCCGGCATCACCGCTATAATAATGTTATTCGTTATCCTTCCTCCATGTTTCTTTTTCTTCATTTTCGCCATACCCTGCGCATTCTCCCCATCCTCCGCAGCTCTTTTTTGCGGAGGCTCCTCCTTGGAGAGCCTCTGGGGGCCTCACAAAAGTTGTTTCAGGCTTCCTTAATTAAGGCCTTCTGGAGGCCTCCTGGGCGTATTCTGGGGGCCTCTGGGGGCTTCCTCGGGCCACCCTGCCTCCAACCGCGGTCTCCCTGGACGACCGGGTCACGATTTGGAATGCTTCGGAGGGTGTCTTGGGGCCATCTTGGGCCGCCGTGGGGCTCTCTGAGGGCCATCTTGGGCCCGTGTTGTGCCGTTTTGGGGCTCTCTTGGACTGCCCGGAAGCCCTTTCGGATGGTTGTGGGGCGATTTTGGAGCCTCCCAGGCGGCTTCGGACGCCCAGAAGACCGCCGTCTTGGAGCGTCGGGAAGCCGAAAAGAGGAGAACCCCCAAATTCACCAAAAACCAATAGAAAATCAACGAGTTTGCCTCTTGGGGCCTTCTTGGGAGTGCTCTTGGAGGCCTCTTTGGGACCGTTCTGGAGGCCTCTTGGGCCATCTGGAGGTCACGTCGGTCACTCTTGGAGCGCTCTTGTGCTGTCTTGGGGGTCTCTGGGACGTCTCCGATGACCCCCCTGATCGCCTTAAGTGTGCTGGGAAGGCTTGGCAAAACGCCCTGCGAGGCCCGGGGGGCCGCTTCGAGGCCCGTCCAGAGGGCCCAAAAGCCTCAGATCCCGGGAGACCGTTTTTTTTTGGGGGGGGGCCCTTTCGCGTTCCGCACGGATTGTAAAACAAATATAAAAGGGAATACATGTATCGAAACACACACACACACACACACGCACACACACACACACGCACGCACACACACACACACACACACACACACAGACACACACGCGCACGCACGCACGCACGCACGCACGCACGCACGCACGCACGCACGCACGCACGCACGCACGCACGTACGCACGCACGCACGCACGCACGCACGCACGCACAAACACACACACACATTGATCACAGGGCATGGTCAGAATCGTAGCCACTGCGCGAGGCCTCAACATCGAGAGGTTGCTGACAGCCGAGGTTTCCGCGGTTGTACCTCGGGTCTTGCAGGTTCCCAGGGCTAGCGCTATTCTAAATGCGGATCCACACGTAGCACGACGCAGTTGCGATAAGAGTGAGGGGGTGGGCGCGGGGTGGGTCGTGGAGGGGTCGCGGGGTGGGTCGCGGGGTGATTCACGGGGGGGTCGCGGGCGGGTCGCGGGCGGGGACGACGACAACGCAACAGCAGCTACCATTGTGATATTGTTCGCTCTTATCTGCTCGCGCGTCAGTCAACATGTACATCCCGAGCTCTCGGTACCCGCCCTCGTCCTCTTCGACCGTACCTACCTTGGGTGTCTATCTGCCTTACCTGCCACGAACAGTTGGCGCAGCCCTTGAAGCAGGAAGAGGACGGAGGCTGGAACAAGAGAGAGAGCGAGGAGGAACGGAGTGCGGGAAGGGAGGGAGGAGGGACACGGCAAGGGGGAGGGAGAAGAATGGAGCGCGAAAGAGATTAGCAGGAGGAGGGTAAGGAGCAGGAAATCAAGTAGCAGAACCAGACGGGCGGGTCGGGCGGGCGGGCCCGGACGGCTGGGTCGAGCTGGCGGGTCGCTAAAGCGTCGGTCCTGCGTGAATCGCGAGGACGTTGCTAGCGACAGCTTGGTATCCAAGTAAATCGCCAGGAAATCAGGGGCGAGCGCGTGATTCTTGGGGTGTCGAGGGTGCGGCGTCTACAGACATTGCGGGGAAGTCCAAAGCGAGAGCGCGATTCCTGGGCAACTTGTCGAGAACTCGTTCGCGAGACCGCGATCTGGAATACTTCGTGAGGAAGTACCCGTCGGGAGCCGCTGTTGTGGTAAAAACCGCAGGCCAACAGCACAGTCTGAGGCCCAAATCAAATCTTATACAGAAGCATGGTGCGAGCCAGGTGAGGAGCACTTCACTTGAAAAAGCACAGCTGTTACTGGAGGGAGATCAGCAATATGTTTTACAAGTAGGAATTCGGCCGGAACGTCATAACAAACAACATATGTTTGAAAAAGCACATATGTTGTTGAAAAAACACATACGTTATTGGAGGGAGATCAGCAATATGTCTTACAAGTGGGAATTCAACAGGAACACCATAACAAACCACACCCGCCAGACGAAACGCCACTTCTGCCACGCATCCAGTGACAATGGAAGGCCGTTCGGTCTCTATCGCTCTGAAGATTTCTGGAGGGGTCAGACAGGACTCCGTGGGGTTCTAGGCCGGCCAGTTGGCGCGCTATCGCTGTTGTACTCACGCGGGGGGCCGAACACATCGATCACCGAGTCCTTCCGAATAGCTGGAGCGGCCCGAAGTTCGGTGTGGATGACAAGGCGCTATTGTTTTGAACACCTAGAGGTTTACTTGTTTGCTCTCGGCGGCTCCTGTGGGGACCTCTTGGGGCCCTATTCGGACGCGTCTCCTGAGTTCACTCATGCTTGTTGCGAGTTCTGGCTGTCGCAGCGTCGCAGCGGCGTTCGTGCTGCTTTGTATCTTCAATTCTTGCGCCCCGCTGGCTTCCGAAGGTACACGTTCGACGTGACCAAATGCATGTTTTCGGAGGGCAACGCCGCGGAGAAGTTGCGCGTGGCGGAATGGGAGGAGCTAGTCTTTGCTCGAAGCATCAGTTCAAGTGCCAAGTTTGCAGCACCAGTTGACAAGACATGTTTCCATGCATGCAGTATCGTATGATACATTTAGAATGTCCAGCAGCTGCTTCCTGAGTCTACTTTCGTACAGGTTCCATGGCGATGCAACGCTGGCACCTGCGGAAACCTGCGTTCGCACGTGCTGGAACGAGCCGCCGGGGCTCCCTCTGTATGGCAGGACTCCAGTCGCGCTTCTGTGGAGCTACCTGTTCTTGCCCACTCCCTGCAGGGCGCAGGCTCCGTGGCCCTGGGCCCGTCAAAGGACGACGTCGGCAGGAAGAGCTGGCCCCAGGGAGGAGGGGGAGGAGGAGGAGGAGGAGGAGCACCCCGGGGGGGGTCCAGGACCAGTCCCCCCCCGAGGCCCCCTCTCCCCGTGCTTCAAGGAGGCCCTCTCTCTTGCCGCAACAGGGTCTGGCCAGTCTCCCCAGGTGCGCGGCCAGACCGTATTAGATCCGCGCGGCTGAGGTCACACCGCCGCCCCCCCTCTTGCCGAGGATCGACAGGAGGAGGAGGAGGAGGAGGAGGAGGAGGAGGAGGAGGAGGAGGAGGAGGAGGAAGAGGAGGTCAGGTATGAGGACGCACGTGAGGGAGAGAGAGGAACAGGATGAGGAGGAGGAGGGGAGGAGAAGAGGGATAAGAGCGAGAATTGCTCCAAAGCTGCGGGCCTCTGTCCAGCCCGAGCGCAGGTAGGGATGCTGGCGCACGGGCGGGAAAGCCCAACGCGCTTCGCCCCACCTGGCAGCCTTCGCCGCCCTGGCGGCCCTGGAGGCCCTGCGCGCTTCGCCGTCCTGTCGCCTCGTCAGTCGTTCCCCCTCTGTGCTCGTGTCCTCGTCGTTATCCTCGTCGTCGTCGCCATCGTCGCCGTCGAGTGGGATCCTCGGGTGTGCAGGATACTCCGAGGGCAGTCCAAACGTCCGTTCGCCTCCGCCCCGAGTGCACGGTACACTCCGAGAAGCCACCATACAGTCGGCCCGGATTA